AGGAGGACGTCGCCCTTCATGAGCACTTACTCCTCGTGCCTTCCTTCCTGCAGACCTGCTGAAGCTGATGGGTTTTCCATGGTGCTCATCAACCTGCATCCAAGCACTTCAAAAGTGATGGATTTATCTTCACAACACATCTTTGGGGACAGAAGGAGCTATTTTCTGTTCTCCAGATTTGAGGATGGGACGGGGTGGAAAAAATGAATGGATTTGCAGTTCAGGTTGAGATAAACCTATATTTTTAAATAATTTGGTATTATGCAGCATTAATCCTGGCACAAGGTCCCCTGGCTTCAGATACCACTGAGAGCACTGAACATTTCTGCAAAGCAGAACTCAGGGTGTGAAATTAGGCAACCCCAAAAGGAAAGATCACATGATTAATGCCTGTCCCCATGTGACAAGACTTGACTGAGTTTCCCAATGACAGAGAATCTCTGTGAAAGAGGTAGGGTTAAATGTGACATTTTTTAAGGTTTAGTTTACAGGGTTTTTTCCATAAGAATATCTTCTAGTCTTTTCTCCCAAACTCTGCAGAAAACAAGAGAGGTTCCCTCTAGTCCCTTCATCGACCACCCGGATTCTTCCCTAGGCTACAGCCAGTCCTGAGTGAATCAGAAGTCTCGATGACCAAAAAGGTGTATGAGAACACATGGTTTATGGCAATGTGTGCATTAGCAAGTAGTGCGGTACAATAGGAGTGATTCTGGAGGGAGAAACAAACTGTGCTGAGGACCCAAAGACCATATTTTGCTGGGTTGCTTCAGCATAGGTTTAGTTTGGCCCTGCAGCGTGAGATCCCATTAGTGTGGCAACATATTAGGTGGGAGTCCAAGGAAACCGTATTGCATGAGCCAAGGTAAAATCTCATCACCCTAAGGTGGAACTACTGGAAAATCATTTCAAAAGCACACTGCTAATCTGAACCTAAATGCAGGTCTAGATTCATCCTAAAACAACTCATAATTCAAATGCATAGGAAAAAAACCAAAGGTTTTGCAGATGGTGTTAATTACAGCATTTCTCATCTCTTCAACCTTGAAACATTGAGCTTGGTAATTTTAAAAATGTCCCTTCAATATGTCTGCGTGCACACATGTGTACTGACACAGGACCAATGCAGCTGAAAAGTTAACTAAGGCAGATAAATCAAGGTGATAACTGAAGTTAATACTTAGGAGGTCTTGATTCAAGTCTTATTGCATTACTCATTAGGAGTCTTTCCACTGATGTCAATGGACTTTTGCTTGGATCATCAGTAAAATGTAGTTACCACAGTCACATCAGCACAGCAACTATTACTCACGCAAATTCCCAGAAGGCATTTTGCCTGCAAAAAGACCACAAGATTTGACCCCGCTAATGACTTCCATAGTGTTTTCTACACCATATAGATTATCGAAGTAGAGCCATGACTCAGAGGGCTTTCCTGCTCCAACCTGCCTACCATCAGCTCTTCCCTGCAATTTCAGAAATTAAGAAAGGCAGAGTTGCTGTTCACAAGACGTTTGCCCAAGAACAAGAGCTCTCGGCCTTTTCTGTAAACTGGCTTTTTCCCATGTGTTAAAGGGAAGGAGAGAAACCAAAAAAACCACCCGAGCAAGCAAACAAACCAAAAACCATAACAATAAAAACAAACAAGCAAACAAAACCCTTCAAAACATTAAAATTCTGGAACATTTGCTCTGGGAGAAGAAAAGAAAATAAAACATAACTGAAAAACTGGTAGATCACTCATGTTACTTCAGAATCTCAGACAGTAATCATGGGATATGTGATGTGAGAGATCTTATTCATCCTGCTCCTGGCATCAGAATATAAGACAATTGATGTAAGAACTCTCTAGACAAACTGTGTATGTTTCCTAGAGCGTACACAGACAGAGCGTCTGCATTTGTGTCCTTTTCAGGATGCCCATCCTCTGAGCTGGCTCCCATCCTGCTTCGTCTCGCTCAATGCCCCTAACACCTATGAAACAACATCAGAAGGAAACTGCAAGAAGAAGGTGTTTCCAGCTTTTAGGGGGGGGGGAAAAAAACCAAAAAAACAAACACTTAGAGTGAGAAACAATAATACACAATTGCAAAATTGTGTCATGCGAATCCTCCTGTAATTTTCACCATTGCTGAACTCCTGGAATCAATACATTAGTCTAACTGCAATCTGTTGATGAGTGAAAGGAGGGAAAGGTTGTAGCATCACGAATTAAAAAAAAAATAATCTCTCAAGCTTAATATCAGCAAAGATGATTATTTCCTTTGATTTGTCAGACTAATTGAAAATAGCTTTATAGTTCGCAGATGATTAATTAGGAGCCAACAAGATCTCCATTTGCATCTCAGTAATTCTTCACTCTTTTATTTCAACATTTAGTCTTTATGCTTAAAATATTCATTGAGAAAGCAGAAAGGTGATTAACATAAGATTTTAAATGAGTGCCATTTGTTCTGACTTTTTTTACACATTTTTGTCAACAGAGTAAAAAGGAAAGAATATACAACATTACAAAACAATTACTGCCTGTTCCTCTTTCATCTGCTAAATCCTCCTTTAAGGTAGATATAGTTTAACTAGGTTCATTTTGAAACAGAGAAGAAAAAGCTCAAATAAAGGTCAATCCTCTTCCGCTCCTCCCCCATTCCTAAATCAAATGACTCTTTGACCTCTGTATAATCATCGTGAAAGTTTCAAAGTGGTCTTTCTTACATGAAACATCCTTACTCATGTGAGCCATCCTGCAGAAGAAGATCAGACCATGCCACTGTTACCCTCTCCAGTTATCACCCAAGAGAAAGTGGGTTCAAAACAGCATCTGACAGATGTGGTGATATTTTTTTCATCCACTTGGCATTGAACGGCAGGAGTACACATATTTCTGGGTGAAAGAACTGTTATTTCATTCTGCATTAAAAAAAAAAAATTCATTTGCAGGTCATGTCTGTTGAGTTTTTTACATTTGGGGGTTGGGGGGGGGTTTGTTTGTTTGTTTGTTTGTTTGGGTTTTTTTAAGCATTTTCTCACAGCCTTCGCAACCTCTGTCTTATCACACCATGCTTAAATCTCCAGCAAATGGAGTGGGGTGATAAGACATTTAACCCTTTATATGGAAAGTAAATGCCCAACCCGTATGATGGTATAAAGAATCTGTAAGAGTAAATACTGAAGACTACAAGGAGGACGGATTCCTAAGGATTAAACCATTAGAAATCAAATTATAAGAGCCAAACTTTGGTATTAACAATAATTAATACAAATAGCATTATTTCAAAGAAAACTCTTGCAGGAAGGGGCTGGCTGATGGCCTTTGAATTTTTGGGGAATTGTCCTCTGTCTACCATCAAACCCAGCCTTTTGTAACAAGTTCTGCCCATTCCTCCAAGCACAGGGACAGGGTCTGGTCCATCTTGATTTAGACCACTGAATTATACCACTGAGTACCCAACGGGGAAGAGCAGAAATCGCTTTTCCAGCTCCTGTCCAAAGTCTCGAGGTCTTTCCTAGTACTGCCCAAAGAGTAGCCAGGATCATGAGGACCCTGCCATACCTTTGCACTTATCCCAGTCCCACATTGTCCTCGGCATAGCTTTGCCACCGTGGTGGCCATGGTTGACTGAGACCAAAAAGGATCCATCCCATGTGGGAGCCCAACAGTAGGCTGGGGCAGCAGCTGGGCTGCGGTTTGAGGGACAGGGAGCACACACTGGACAGTGGGGTTACACTAACATGCAGTCCATTTATTTTTGAGGTGGTTTTTTTTTTCCTTTGTTCTGTGGGTTTTTTTATATATCGAGCCACCACAAACACTGCGTTGGCCATCAGCATGAGCGCAGAGACACACATTCCCGTACCTGTGGTAACTATGTAATAAATACCATCAAAACAAATTAAAAAATAAAAAATAAAGAAAGAAACATATTTCCTTTCCCACCCCCAAGCACAAAACACTTTTAAGTCAACAGAATTTAATCTAGTTTATTCTCAAAAAAAAAAAAAAAGGAGGAAAAAATATGAAAACAAAACAAAAAAAGCAGGTCTTATCACTAGCAGTAAATAAATTTGTACAACCATTCAGTCTGTATAATAGGATGAAATAAATCTACATCTTTCTTATTTTGGTGCGTTGAATTATACATACAAACAACAATTACAGGAACTTGTTCACAATGCATATAGACCTGGAGAATGGCTATCTGAAAACCCCTTGTTGGCAATGTCTGCATGTTAACACTGATTGCCTGACACCATTGGTACTTCCTATGCAAAAGGCCCATGGCCCGAAATGAATGATCTCCCTACAGGTTTTATTTATTTAGTTATTTATTTATTTAGTTAGTTAGTTAATGCATCATCAAAACCGTTCTAGCCAGCCCCCGCCCCCTCCCCGGAAACGAAAAAGAAACCGAAAAAAAAACCAACCAAAAAAAACCAAAATAAAAATAAAATAAAAGGAGAAGACATGACTGGCAGTTGGTCCATTTGTTCGTAAGACCGCGTTTCCTCTTGGTCTGCATTGTTTATTTTTCTGGTTTTTAAATTGTCCTCCCGTCCTCTTTTTTTTTTTCCTTTTCCTTTAAAAAAAAAAATCTCTTGGAGTCCTTCATGCCTTTTTCTTTACAGCTCCCCAGATGCAATAAAGTCTTCCTCAAATGTACAGTATTTCTTACAATATAAGTTATATGCAATGTTCAGCATTTTTTATTTTATTTTATTATTTTTTCACAGCACTAGAGATTCTGTCCAATAGGGAATGCAAGTTCTGAATGGCTTATTCACAAATGGTATCCAGATTCAGTGGGTAAGAATACATAGACGCCATAGTGAGTTCCTTTAAAAAGTGGCAAACATCACTTTCTTTAACCTTTTTTTTTACTTTTTTCTCTTTTTTTCTTTTTTTTTCCTTTTTTGTGCTTTTTGTAGTTTTTTTCTGCGTTTTTTTATTTTTTTCTCCTTATGCCTTCAAATAACGTTTTTATTTATTTTTTTTTTTATTCTTTTTACCCCCTCCCATTTGATTCGGGACGTCAGACCCATAACCACACGCCTGCAAAAATGCAAGTATATAAAGTAAATCTCATTTTGAGACCGTAAGCATTCAGCAGGGGAGTCTCTCGCTAACCCATGGCAGTGACCATACTGGAAGGATGGTGAGGTCCAAAGGAGAGGCTGGATGGAGGATGCATCGGTGTCGGTGTAGTCAGCATGTGGCTGGAGTGACTGAAAGGTGAAATGTGGCTGATGGAGGACATGTGTCTGGAGAGGGCGGCAGGGTTAAAGGAGCTGCTCTTGGGAAAGTCTTCAAGGTTGTCATGGACCTTTTTGCACTTTTTGGATTTGCTAGACATTTTTCGGTTTCTGGTCTGAATTCCTTCTTTCTTCATAGTCAGGGGTCTGTTAATCTAAACAAAAATCAATTATTTTTTTTGTGCTTCCATCCCTTCTCCCCAAATCACTGTGGGATTCATCTACCCCATGCCCTCACAACCCCAGGGATATGCCCAGGACCAGCTGGACAGCCAGCAGCCCCCCTCCGCCCCTTGTATGCCCCATGTGCCACAGCTACACAGCCTCTCCCCACCATCCCAAAATTCAGATCCCACCAGGAAATCCCAAATTCCATTGAAATTTCTGAAGACACGACAACAGAAAAATTCTGGCAGAGCCTCATGGGAGCAAAACATACCCAAATAACTCACAGCGGCTGAAAAATTTCAGCTATCTGCACATTAGGTAATTGCACCTTGTTTAGGAACAAAACCAATCATTATCACCTTGAAATATTCCCCGCAGACACTGTCTCACCCCGAGGCTTCCTGACTGATCTAAAACCATTAGCGGCAAGAGCTGCTGGGATTTCAGTGCAAACTTTCACAGTGGCATTAGGGACTCGGGCTAACTCTTCACAAAAGGGACAGATATCTGTCTTATTTTTCTTCTTTCGAAAGGTTTTGCTCTGATCATCCATTCAGGTTTACTTCAGCCAGTAAGGGTTTATTTCTAAAGTCTTATAGGGTAGGGGTTTTTCGGCCTAACACAAACACGAATATGCAGACATATCTGTAGAAAACCTAAGTATTACATTCTTCTGCAGGGATATACACGGCAGCAGTGACCACCCATACACCCATTAGGGTTAGGAAATGGTGACAAAAGGGCTGTTGGACCTTCTGTAAAAACTATCGTTACTGCATAGAGAGCCAGCATCGCAACATGCATTAACACAGGTGCCATGAAAGCCCCAAGGATCACACTTAGGAAGGGATTTATGCACCCAATATCCATAAACAGCCTTAAAAATCTGGATTTGGGAGTTTACATGAGGAGTTATATAGGTCTTGCACCGGCTCCTCTGCAGAATTTCACCCATAGCAGAAGGCAGGAGAGGCCAGCAAACCATTCCAGGGCTGAACACCCCTTTTCGTAATAAATGTGAGCACACAACAGTGCTGATGGATATTCTGCAAAAGGGGAAAAGGGGAGGGGGGGAAATGGATCCACCAGGAACTACTGTCTCAACCCTGGTGAAGGACAATGAAAAGAGGTTCCTACAAGTGTCCTGAGCAGAACTTTATTTGTAAAATCTTAAATCAGCGCAAGGGACAAAGCACTCCCTTCTTCCAGATCACAGCAAAGTTTCATTTCTTGCTCATCAGCCACTGCTTGGTGCCTTTCCCCGCAGCATGGGAGTCATTCACGGATCTCTCTCCCCGGGGAGGCAGGGATACAATAGCTCCCTGTTACATGCAGAGATGGAGGCATGGGGAGAGAGGGAGGACCAGACTCATCTGCTCCAGTTTAGGCATCCCAAAGTTCGTCATCTCAAGCTGAATTAGTGACCCCAGGCTCTCCATACCAGCAGTGATGGGAAACTTCACCTCACCCTAAAAATGGGTGAATAGAAGGATTCCTCTGCCTCTGGATAAAGGGAGCCGGAGGGAGCAGCCCTGCTTGCCAGCAGCTAAAGGTAGGAAGGAGGAATCTGCCCACGTGCAGTCCAACAGCAGCCCTGGGGCAGCAACAAGCAAAAACCTCAAATGTCATGGGCTTTAAATACAGCATCACCCGTCTCCCTGGCTTCCTGTCCTCGCCGAGGGAACAGGGATACACACACAAGGAAGGTCCTTTGCTCCAGCTGGATGGCTGGAGTAGGAAAGCTCTGCCTGACCTGTTTTAAGTCAGCCAACAGGGATGTGTTGCCCACATTCAAAGCCAGGAGGAAGCCCCAGGCAAGCCACACCAGGCAACAATGCCAGAGGAGACCTGGAAGTCTCGAACCTTGAAGAATCCAGCTCAGATTTGGGGAGGCACACGCGAGCCCCGGGCTCCCCAGATCCTAATGAGGATTTGCTTTGTGAGACAAAGGCTATGGGGCAGCCAGAATTGATTTCCAGGTGAAGCAGCAAAGGTGCAAGCTCAGGAGATGGTTGTAGCAAATCAACATCAGCCTGGGACTGTACTGGCTCTTGGAACAAGCACGGGGTCCTGACCCTGTGTAGCTTGGTGTCACGTCCTGCAGGACAATGACCACTTTCCCAAAGAGCCATCTCATGTTTCATTCAGTCAAGAACAGGTTGGCCCAGGCCATGATTTGATGTGAAACCCAAGGATGGGAATATCAGTTTTGCTCAGAATGGTGACAAAGCCACAGCCAGCCCTGCAACTGGGGCCAGAGATGCCATCCAGGCTGTTAGCTGGACACATCATCCCGGTGTACGTGGTCTCACCCTTCTAACAGGTACCTGGCCCAAAAGCCAAACAGTTAAGGACTCAGATAAATGTCAGGAGGAGTGAGACCAGCACAGTAACAGCAGCAAGCTGCAATTTTTTTCCACTGACTTCAAAGGCCAGCCACAGCAGAGCTGAAGCGATCCCCAAAACATCAAAGCCACTGACCCATTTCTATTTCCGGGGTAGAGAAGGAAGAGTCCTGGAGGGAAGACCTTCTCCATGAAAATTCATTGTAATAGAAACGATAAACACATGCTAAATTAAAATTAAACCAGCCCAATACTTGTATATGAAATCCATTAATTTCAGATGGAGCCAATTAATTATGGGCAGGAATTACGCTCTTTGTTTTATCGTATGCAAAACGCTGACTGTTCTGCTCTCAGGACGCATAGCCCTGCTTTAGGATATTGTGAAAGAGGCTTTTTCTGAGGACTTTTACCAGAAACAATGGCAACTCACTCATTTCTACGAGCACAGGCCAGTCTGCTGTGCACCTCCAGCAAGGTACACTCCCACCCATCCCTGAAGTGAGTGGATGCTCATCCCCCTTCTGAGAAGGACTAAAATAACAAGGACGAGAACCTCACATTCAACAATTCAAATCCAGGGGATACTCTTAAACATTATAGGTCTGAACTCGCTCTGACTGAAGACAATGGGATTTTGCCATTGACCTCAATAAGGTCCTGTCACTGAAGCGGATTTATCCTTCAGACATAGTCATTACAACGTTGGGTTAATCTTCCAGGCTGGCTGTATCTTAGAAAGCACTCTGGGATGCCACAGGATGAAAGGCACCGTATCAATGTGAAATATTAGTCATTGTTAACACTGGTGTTAATGGAGACGCCTCTTGTGGAAGTCAGTGGGAGAAATGCCAGCAGCTTCACTAAATGCACCCCAAGACTATTATGATTATTGCTTATATCCTACTGACAAATGGGTTTGCTTAAGCTGTGGGAATCAACAGTAAAACAAATTGATATAGCCCCATGAAAAAAATAGCACCATGAAAATATAGCTCCATGAAAAAAAATAGCCTTTTCACTGTGTTGTACTCAGTGTGGACTGAAAAACTGGGTAAACCTCATCTTCAGATCAACCCATTAAAATACCCTAATGATCTGAAGGTCCAAGAAAAAGTCATCAAGCCCGAAGAAAATACAAAAGGCGGGAGGGAGGGGGGACTGGGGTTAAAAAGCAGCCAGGAATTTGCTACAATCTAGCCTGAAAAAGGGTTAAGGCATCTGCCAGGCAGTTGAAGACCACCTATTGGCATTGATGCAACATCTGTGCAGACACGCTCAGCTGCCTGGGAGGGACATTGGGAGAGACATGCTATGATGAGCCTCTCTATTTTTGACACCTCTCCTCATGGAGGACTGATACAGATACATAAAGGGAGCAGGACCACAGCCTACAAACTGGTCTTGCATTTTAACAGCCCAGATCAATTTGCACTAGCCAAGGAACCTTGTCCACATGCAACCACCAAACTTCCTCCCTGCCTTGAGTTGACTAAAGGATGATGCTGGTGCCATTCACCAGACAGTTAGCACAGCTCCCTAGGTCCTGCCTCCCAGCAGCCAAAAAGAGAAGGCATCTCCATGAAGCTACCCCCACCTTACCACTAGTCACAAAAAATTCACTCGTATTTAGCTTCCGAAGCACAATGTGGCCTTCACAGTCACAGCCACCAAAGCCATTTGGGCTGCAGAATGATGCTCCAATGCTCTGCCATTGTAGACCTTTACAGCTGCGGGTGGTATGTTCACGGACTATTGGCTGTTATGTTGCCTGTTTCTCACCACAGTCATAACTAAGCATCATCTTAAAAAAGTGGGGGGGAAAAAAAAAAAAAAAAAAAAAAAAAAGAATCTAAAAAAAAATACCCACATTTTGGTATCCTTGCCTAGTTATATTGCTGCACACAGTATCTCAGTCCTCTAGGGGTTTCTTTCATTTAAGCAGGTCCCATTAATGGAGTTGCTCATAAGGCAAGATACTACTTGACTTTGGTAAGTAGCCGTGCTGAGCTTTTAAGCAGCTGTCGGTGTTTTTAATGAATATGAAAATGGTTCCAATGTGCTCAAGGCCTGCCCCATGTCACAAATTTCACAGCTGGATCAGAGTTTCCCTAAACAGTGGATCTAGGGGTCAATTCAGGCCAACTAGGTTCACAATGTTAGTGTGAAAAAGAAAAGGATGTTCTCTTGCAGGCACGTTTCTGGAGAACTTCAGCACTCAAGACACCGTTCTAAAAGGGGGATTCCTCCAGTCAGATGTCTACAATGCAGGTAGACACATTTGAAATCATCCTGCCACCTTTTGTAGTCATGAGGAGAAACTACACTGTCTTCAAGGGTACAAGTCATCCCATCCAAACACAGGCATCTCCATCAGGTCCAATGAATGGCACCTGAGAAGAGCCTATTTTCTTCAAAGGACTTTGCTGGGGTACAGGGGAGCAGTGTAGGTATAGGTATCCCTATAGGTCTCCCAAGCTACGTGATTTAAGTCCTACCACTGGTGGCTACAAGGCCAAAATGAAAACATAGCACAAGCATAGACTCCTCCAGCGAGGCTGGCTGACCTTTCTCCCTTCTTGCCATGGAAGTAGCAAACAGAGAATATTTTCTTGTGATATTCTGAGAGTTTTCACTCTGGGTCCAACCCCTTTGTTTGCAGTGATCACACTGAGAATTTGATGACAAGCTTTGCTTGCTACATAGGACTCAAAACATGCTGAGACGCCTGCCCACTAAAGAGTAAACACATTTTCCTTTTTTTCAAGAGGGATGCCTCTCACTGAACAGGTGAAAAATTACCCTGGTTGGGTTTTTGTGGTTTTTTTCTACTTAATCCAAACTTGTTTACCCATCCCAAGAAACCAAAGAGCTTGAAATAACAAATGGAAGGGACTGCGACACCACAAGGGTTGGGTGCCTCATGAAACCCAATCTGTCTTTGATGCGTTTGCATGGGTGGACATGAGGGCAAAACATAGCCCAAGATTTCTAAGTCAAACATAAAGCAAATGACCACTAGGGAAAAAAAAAAAAAAAAGAAAAAAAAGATGTGATATCAAAGCAGAGAAATGGAAAGTCTTTTCCTTCTTCTGACATAATAATTATTCTAATACCACATGTGGAATGAGAGTAACAGGAGTAGCCTTAAGACTCTTTTATTAGCAGTATTATTCAGTAGAAGACTTTTCAGATCCCTTTAGCTCTTTCCATGGGGCACATATCCCTGGTTCCTGCAAGCTGGCTTTGCATGGAGATATTAGATTAAATCTGCAAGCCATTTCATTTCATTTTTCCTTCCCTTCCATGACAGACTCTTTAAAATTCACATCACAGGTTGAGCAGACTCTGCAACCCGCTAACTAAATCAAGTCCTTTTTGGTTGATGCTTGCGTCAACCAGTGCAAACACAAGACCTAAATAAATCATCTTTGGGGAAGGGTGGAGGGACGGGACAAAGGCAGCCACAAACCCAAGAAAGATCTAAATAGTCGCTGGCACATTTTGCTTTTTTTTTTTTTTCTCCAGAGTTTGTGTTTGCTGGAGGAACCAAGCTACTCATAGAAGGGGTATCGTCTTGCAGGACGGCGTGTTGTCTTTTCCAATGCACTGAGCCCAATCAGCAGCAGATAATGTCTTTCTGTGTTGATCCACACCTCCTTTCTTGGCTCAGACATGGGAAAGCTCTAACATTACCCATGGACTGCCCTATTTTATACCTCCCCAAGTCAGATCAGCTACGTTTGAGGGGATGCTGACTCATTGCTCCAACCCCCAAAGTACCCAAAGGGATAAAGGAGGTCTCAGCACCACCCAAGACTGGAAATCCTTAGGTGAAAGAAGAGTTTTGACCATAGAGCACCGAAACTGAGGCCTCGTTATTGAGCGTTACAGTCACACTTACATTGTGCAGCTTGTAGTAGAGCCCGCAGGCGTTACAGACGGGATCGCCGTTGGCATTTCTCCTCCACAGGGTGGTAGTGGTGGTCTGACAGTTCGCACAGGACGTGCCTGCCCTCCTGGCTGCAGACTGCGGGAAGGAGGGGGAGAGACAAGGGAAGAGGAGAGGGAGAGAAAAGCACTCGTGTTAAAAAAAAAAAAAAAAGAAAAAAGAAAAAAAAAAGAAAAAAAAGATGCAATCAGCAAAATTGCTGAGAAAGAAAACATCAACCCTGCAAGACTGACGCACATCAGTAGAGGCCTCCAGAAACTGGCTTGTGAGAACAAATAATAATTCTGAAAAAAATCCCCAAGGTACTTTAATCCCAAATTATATATGAACTGAATCAGGTGCCAAAGGGCATCCTAAAAGTGAGTGCTAAACCTCTGATAGAACTCATCAAAATTAGCAGCGCTGGCACAGCCCATTCCAGAGGGGAAAATATTATTTAAATGCCAACATGTCTTTCCATCTTAATTCTCTCAGACCCCCCAGGGGTCTAATTCTGCAGTCAGGGCCTGAACCAACAATTGCCAGAGTCAACGGCATGAGTCACGCCGGCTCCAGCGAGTGCCGGGTGAGACCCACGCTGAGCATGGTGGGCAGCTGCTCACCGGGTCCGACCGCAAATACAGCCCAGTCCCGTAAATTCAGCTCAGCTTCAAAGGATATGGGTTCCAGATCGGAAATAACACTGTGGCAAAGAGCGAGAATTCCAACTTTTTAATTACACCCTTTTGCAGCCTAAACCTTCATGTTTATTTAAGGATCGGTAGGGAGCCTGAAAGAAGAATTTACCATTTCATAAAGGGGGAGGGACAAGAAAAAAAGTCTACGTGTCAAGGTGTATAAAGAAGCTTTTTTGTTGGCTGTGATAATGATTTGGCAAAGCCAAATTTAGCAAAGTCGCTCCTCTTTCACATGCATGAATTCGTGCTTATCATTTAAAAACTGTTACTTTAGCAAACAGATTGTCCTTCTGCCACTGAAAGAGGAAAAGGAGTTTTCAGACTCCTATGTGAATGTGTATGCATGTTTGCCTGTGTGCAAGTGCCTACAGCTCCTAAAAAAAGACCTTTAGATCCCCGTCCTATCTCTTCTTCATCAGTATGACACAGTCCCAGAGCTCTGATTTCATCCCAATGCATTGCTTTCAATGGGACTGCTCATGTGCTTAAAGTTAAAACATGTGCTTAAGCGATTTGCCAGATCATAGCAATGCTTGGCACCTTGCAGAACTGAGCCTTTAATGCTCTCTTTTGTGCTCTTACTGTTTCAAATTTACCCCTCACCCCACACAGCCGCACACTGTAGCGCATCCAACATTTTAAAAAAAAACCTCAAAACTACCGCATCTTTGGATACCGTACAACAAACCCAAAATGCAAACATGGACACTGGCACAGCGCTAGCGTTAATACCAACTCTTGTTAGGTCATGTTGCAATTTTAATCATAATTGAATGCGGCGTAGGTGGAGAGAGGACGGGTTGGTTTTGTTTTAGATAGAGTAGGATTTTTATTTTTCTTTTCATTAGACAAAAAGGACTGTCTAAAAAATAAATAATGCGATGCCCATGAGTATTAGGATGCATCACGGAGAGCCTGATCTGACAGCAAGAAGCTCTCACTGTCTGCCCATGGGGACAGTTCCATTTTGCCTGACCATAAACCACGCTGAAACAAGCCGATCTCAGGCCCGAGGAGGCCTCTAGCTGACTTCTCCGTGCTGGTGATAAGCAGGAGCTGGGAACAACACACAGGTCTTTGGTTGCAAAGATCCCCGTGACGGCAGGAGAAGCTGAAGCACCTCACCACGAACAGCAGAGCCCTGAACAGATGTGTGCACACACGCGCCTCGGTCCTGTCCCGCTCCAGACCATGCTACGGCCGCAAATTTAGTTCCTATCAAAATCATCGGGTTAATACACGTGCTTCAAGCACAGCACGGACACAACAGCTTGCAGAACCGGGCTCTCGCCAAGAGCTGGGGGCCAAGTCGGCAGATATCTGCCCCCCGCCAGCTCCCACCGGCCAGCACGGGTGGCTCAGAGGCTGGATCGAGTCTCTCAGTGGCAGCTTTGCCCTTATCAGACCCAAAAATCAAGCCCAAGGAAATTTCTAAAAACCAGTGATATTTGACTCAGCCCACACAGGGGAAACATCCCCTTTGAAGATATTTGGGGTTTCTACACGGCGCTCGTCGTAATTTCTCGTACGGCAAGTGCGTTTAAAAGACACGCCTGATCACCACCTTGCTGCTTTCATACAATTTCTGACATTAAATAAACGAATAAATCACAACGTGCACTGTCTTTATAAAACCTTTTCCATCTGCCGCATTTCCCCTACAAAAACTCAGCGTTGTTAGCTCTTTCGCTCCCAGGCTGTGCCTTTTATGTTGTACCAACTTATACTGGAGACACCGGCAGGAAACAATGAATAATAACACAATTGTAAAAGCTCCCAGCAATGGCATCCACTGACGCTAATCACCAACCTGAGCCTGACCATGTAAGTAATGGGATGACTAACAGGGTGCCCCATATCACCTGTAGGACCAGACCCCATGGCCCAGTTGCACGTGAGCGAGGGCACAACTTCAGAAGTGCTGGCAGTGATGAGAAAGTGGAATTGAGGATGGTACAGGAGGAACCGAGCACTGATAAAGGTGCTTAATTAAGAGGCCTTTTCGATGTCTGGATTTACATGGGGTAGCCAGAAAGCTGCAAGCATCAGCTTCCTAAAAAAAGACTGCACGTGCATGGGCCTTCTGAGAAATTAGTTATAATCCATCCGAAACCAGCATGGCTGGACACGGAAATGGAGAGCTCTGCATCCACATGGGCAGGGAAAGGAAGAAAATCCATAGGAAGGTTTTATCTCAGCAACATCAGTGACAAGGCTGCTACTGGCTTCGACAGGGACAGGGATGGTCTCCAAGAGGGCTGTAGACCTTTTAAGCAGAGCCATGGCCTGGTACCACCTGCCCGTTCCTGATGCCCTCACCAACATCTCCAGATCTTCCACCTTCCCCCGAAAGCAGACCTGTTTGAGCCCCCTCAACTAGTAAGGCTCCATCCATCTCCCCTAAAGGAAACCCTTACAAAGACGCCCATCGATTTTAATAAGATTTAGGCTGGGTTCTCAGCGTCTAAGTATTTATTTGCCTCCTCTTTCCAACCCATCGGAGTCCTTTCATTAGTTTCAGCGTGCCTGGGATCAGAGCCTACAAAACCAGCCCAAGGTCACGCAGGAAATTTGTGGCAGAGGGAGAGGAGCACACGCTGGATCCCCACCCTGAGCCTCCATACATACGCTGGCTTCCCCAGCCCGCTCGCCTTCCCAAGTCAC